TGAATTGTATGTTTCCTCTTCTTTTGCTCTCCTGTTTTGAGTTCCATTCTAATGCTGTGAGAAAAAAATCCCTTGCTTAGTATTTCAGATTAAGTTCCAAGGATAGAATTATTTCCAAATTCCTGAAGGCATCTACTTTGAACCAGAGGGTTCATTCAAGACCTTTCTGGGAAAGAAAGTCACTGTCTTGTCATGAGATCAATTAGTCAAGTTAAAATTAAGGTTGGATGGGGCTTGGGCTGTATGTGCCTGAAGAGTAGGATTCACAAAACTGTCAGCACCTGGAAAACCATCACAGAGGGAAACATGCATTCATTCCCGCATAATGAGAACAGGGTTATATTTTCCTTCCATATTCTTTATAAAAATCCTCTAAGACCTCTCCTGGTTCTCAAGTATCCCAGAAGTCACAGCCCTATGACCACAGTGATGAATCCACCACCAGGTAAACTGAGTCAGCCAATCTATGTGCTTCAGGGATTTGACAACCTGCTTACAGCCAGGGATATAACATGGTCACAGAATCAATCTGTACACATGGGAAAGCCATTCAGTCAATAATTCTGAATATTTAACATAATACTAAGAAAGAGACCATGAGAAGCCATTGAGAGAAAATAAACATGTGTGGATCATACTCTTGAAGTGTGATCCTTCCCCCAAAAGACAGGTATGGAACAAAGTTAAAGAGATTTTAAAAAAGAGTGCTATATTCCTGCTTGTGATACATAGGAGGATGGTCAAGAACTAAGAGGAAAAAAATCTAAAGGAAGGCAGGTGGACATGTAAAAAGCATAAGTGTAAGTGGAATTATGGAACCCATGTGGCAGTTCTCACTTTACGTGGTAGAGATTTACTGTAGTTGAGTTAGCATCTCATTCCTGAAACAAGTTCATTGTGGAGGAAGTGAGTCTTAGACTTTTAAACCATCCAGAACTTAGAGGTAAGCTCATATGCCACAGAAACAGCTCTGAGTGAAGCAAGTTGAAACATTGTCTTTCTAAGGTTTCCCCTATTATGTTTTTGTTTATCATGAATACAAAGTGTGATCTGAATGCAGCAAACTTCAACACAAGTCTCTATACAACTATTGTGAAGCGACTACTGGGCTTAATATTATGCCTTATTAAACACTGTGCTTTAATAAGGTTTGTTGAAATCCAGCTCTATATTTTTTTCTTTTTTTTAATTTTATTTGTGAACATACTGTACAGAGGGGTTACAATTACATGGGCAGGATAATGTGTACATGTCTTATCAAGCATTGCAGCCTCCTCCTTTGGTTTACCCTTCACATCCCTTCCCAGCCGCCCCCCTCTCCCCCCCATACCAACCCTTCTACTTCCCCCCCTTTCCCTCCCCCCCCCTCCGGAACCGACGTTGTAAAGCTCGTTTTGGACATGACAACTTGTACTTCTTGTTGTTGCATCAGGTCCACCTGTATCCTTAAACAACTGTTTTTTCCCCCTCTCCTCCACAAGTTATACTGACATCAAATATAGTGAAAGCAGGGGTCATACTGTGGGGGAGGGATCTCTATTTTTTCTTAATGAAAGGAAATTACTCTTTAAAAATTCTAAAATCTTTATAATGTTTGTATCTGCTTATTATATTATAGCTTATCTGTTTATTGAACTTATTCAATGCATGAATCTATTAAATAATAATATCCTTTGGTACCTAAATGATAAAGTCAGTCTAGATTGTGCCCTTAAATTTCTACTCATACCTGAGGACTTCCTAATCCATATTGGACAAAGAGGACTTTGGTATTTGATTAATGAGTCACTTCATTCACATCTAGTACAAATCTATAAAATAGCAGAAAGTACATTTAAAGAATTCTGTAATAAACAAAAGAGCATATTAATATTTCAGAGTGTTGGTGAAGGATGAAAGCTGATCAATTATTTATTCCTCATATTGCTGCTTGACATTATATTGCCTTTGGAGTCACCACTCTGTTTATTTTTCTTCTTTTCTTTTTATTCATTTGTTATTTGTTTACTTTGTATTAACATAAATGACCTAGACAAATGCTCTATCTTAGTGTCTCAACATTATTAATGTATATTTGAAATTTGTTGAGAGTTCTTCACTTGTTTTCATTACAAAAGAAAAAGAAGTAACCATGTGAGGTAATTAGGATTATTAAGAAGATTTTTTTGACATTTTTATTACTGAAATATAAAACTGCTTTGTCCCCCGTACCGCACTTAACATTTAAGGAAAGGGACATCATAGCAGATAGACTGTGTTGCTGCCAGCTGGGTTGTGGAGTTTCTCTGTCAGTGAGGGCTTGGGCATGGGCGTCTCTGTCAGTGAGGGTTTGAGGTTGGCGCTCTGGAGTGGTAGTTTCTGTCAGTGGTGATTGGGGAGGTCTCTCAGTGGAGGTCAAGGGGGAGTCTCTGTAGCAGAGGTCTGAAGGAATGGTCTCTGACCGTGGGGATCAAAGGGTGGAAGGGAGTTAGGGGTCTGTCATAGGAGAGGGGATATGGGTAGGGGGTCTATATAGTGGGGTTACGATACGGGCTCTGTCAATATGGTCTTTTGCATCTGAGGGACAGAATGAGGCTCAGAGAACCCTGCCTGAGGAGGGACAGGGGCCAAGCACCCATTGAGAAGTGGTATTTGGGTCATCACAGGATTTGTCTGCTTCCCTGAGAAGCAAGGCTCAGAAGATGTACATGGGGCCTGGTCTCGGCTCAGGGCTCCTCTGAGCCGACGCTGTGCCCTAGACCATCATCCTAGTCCTTGAGCGTGCCATGTGCACATCCGCGCTGAATATCCTGGTGCAAAGGAGCTTTTCACAGGAGAGGCCATGGGGCCCCGGGCTAGATTAAACCTGTGCTTTACACTACCATCCAAACACGCCCCCTACGTACACTACAGAAATACAGGGTCTGTGTCTGCCACACGTGGTTTTGAATCGTTCCAAAGGTGAGGCTTTCACTGGCAACCAGGAGTTAGCTATTTCTGCTTTTCTCTCCCCTGGACAAACAGAGCTTCTGTGTCATCCGTTCCCCCCCACTGCAAAGTCTGCCGAGTCAATGTTCTTTTCGGGAGTGCCCACAGGCATCACCTGGCTTTGCCCCCAGAGACACCCTCTGCTGAACAGATGACACTGCCACCGTCAGTGACCAATCCCTGGAGACTTCACATGTCTCAGGAGCTTCCCAAGAAAATTGGACCACTTGACACCTCTCAGGGCGAATCCGGTGTCCTCTAAATTTGCCTCATTAATCCATTTCTACTTTTACTTCTCCAACTAGATGAATGCAAATCTCCCCTGGTTCTGTTCACGTAAAAACCTCTTCTTAATTGCTCACCTTTATACCCATATTATGGAATCCGGAGTTTAAGTTCATCAATAACTAATATATGACTCTGCTTTTGATTATGGACACATACACATATAAGTGAGCCATGTCATATGGTAACCCCCCTCAAATCTCTATCTGTATCCATTCTGTATTTGTATAAACTGTTTGCATTACCTTTAAGTGGTTGGACAAGGCGTGTTTAATTCAACACGTCCATTTATGAGTACAGGGCCTCTTGAGTAATGTCACCCTTTCCGTCTTACTCTCCCCAGACGGTTTGCATAGAAATCAATCCCTAAAATTCCCTTTTATTTGTTCATATATTTATTATTATATTTTTGTTATCTTTAAGTAATTGTAGAAAGGAATTGCCCTTCAACAAAGCAGCTTATGAATGCAAAGCATCTGAATCAATGTCACCCCTCGATTTATTAATGTTATTCTTTTATACTATTATTGTGAAAATACTGTACAAAGGGGTTACAATTACATGGGCAAGGTAATGAGTACATTTCTTATCAAGCATTGTTGCCTCCTCCTCTGTTTCCCCTTCCCACCCCATTCCCCCTACCCTCTTCCCACCTTAAGCCAAAGTTATTCAGTTGTAGAATGTTCAGACCTATTCTTCCAACACCGATTAAAATCTTCTTGAACTTTTAGGTGTCACATACTCTGGGAAGCCATTATATCTCTCCTCAATGCCAGCCATCAACGCAAGAAATCCTATGAAAATCACCCTTTAAGTCCAACACTATGATAGCATTATTGAATGATGATTACTTTGTCCTTTCTTATATCTACAATATAGGATCTACAGAAACATCAAGAACTACTTTGTACACATTTCTGTATCTCCAGAGTATTTTCTAACAACCTGACATATACTAATCCTTGAACACTAGGTAGAGTTGGTTTTATGAATCCCATTCTGTCTAGGAATCTCTAAGGAATGACTAAACCACCATCCTTGCTATTTCTGTAAGTCAGGACCAGTGAACATCTTATGAATGGGTAGCAAGCTGGATGAGTAACATCTACAGAACTCATTTCTACTGCATTGCCTGAGAGGAATATTTTCTGGGTTGCAGTTCAGCTATGTGGCTCAACACCACTCCATCTGTATTCCTGCTTACTGGCTTCCCAGGCCTGGAGAAGGCCCATCACTGGATCTCCCTCCCACTGTTGATGACCTACATCTCCATCCTTCTTGGCAATGGCACCCTTCTCTTTCTCATTAGGGATGACACTAACCTTCATGAGCCCATGTACTATTTTTTAGCTATGTTGGCAGCGACAGATCTTGGAGTGACCTTGACCACAATGCCTACGGTGCTGAGTGTTCTGTGGTTAAATAACAGAGAGATTGGCTATGGAGCTTGCTTCTCTCAGGCCTATTTCATCCATACTCTTTCTATTGTGGAATCCGGTGTCTTGCTTGCCATGGCCTACGACCGTTTCATTGCCATTCGAAACCCCTTAAGATATACCTCCATCCTTACTGACATGCAGGTAATTAAAATTGGGGTGGGAGTGTTGACAAGGGCCTGTCTGTCAATTATGCCAATAATCATTCGGCTGCACTGGTTTCCCTACTGTCGATCCCGCATCCTCTCCCATGCTTTCTGTCTGCACCAAGATGTCATCAAGCTCGCTTGTGCAGACATCACCTTCAATCAAGTCTACCCAGTGGTGGTTGTATTTGCTATGGGCCTGTTGGACTTTCTCATTATCTTTTTCTCCTATATTTTGATTCTCAAGACGGTCATGGGCATTGCTTCTAGAGAGGAACGAGCCAAGGCCCTCAACACATGTGTCTCCCATATCTGCTGCATCCTGGTCTTCTACATCACTGTAGTTGGCCTAACGTTTATTCATAGGTTTGGCAAGCATGTTCCTCATGTGGTCCATATCACTATGAGCTACATCTACTTCCTCTTCCCCCCTTTCATGAACCCTGTTATCTACAGCATTAAAACCAAACAGATTCAGAGTGGGATACGGCGCTTGTTTTCTTTGCCTTGCTCTAGAGTATGATTGATTCATTGTGCTAAGAGAAATAACTCTTGCAACCTGAGCAAGCTGATAGCTGTGTAGGCATTTCAATGGAAATCAACCCATTTCTCTGTCACTTAGCGTATCATCTTCTCTTGGCCATTTCTTTTTATAGGTCATAATATATACACAACATTTAGCACATATCTTAAGAGCTTACACTGGTGAAAACTCTTTTTCCTAGATAATTCATAGTTTGGTGAGCCTGTGGCATAGCTAGCAACATTTGAGTTAATGCGATCATTTTCCTGAGGCCTCATATGCATGAGAGAAAGACATTTTTAACTTTGCCCATGCATCTAGTTTTCTTGCTCATATTGAGCTAGCTAATGTTTCTAGAAAAACACATTGAGTAAAGAAATGACCCTTACCCTGCTCTCAATTCAGGATGACTTTAGGAGAAACTGATCTGTGGGAAAAAATCCAAAAAAGAAAAAGAAAAGATCCATTTTGTTAAAATTTTATCTGACAATAATTTTGAATGTAATAACCTAAAAGCCAAGCTAACATTCCTAGTCCAAATAATCATTTTCTTAATGAGCTGGCCCTCAAAAACTGATGAACAGAAGATAATTATTTTTGTTTAACAAAGGGGTATAAAAAGTCTAATTTGTAAATGCATTATGGGTAACAGGAGAGGAGTGTTCTGGTAAGCAGAGTGCTCTTCAGAAGGGAAACACTCCTGGCCATCTGTACGGGAAAAGGAAGATGGAAACCCTGGTGACCACAAGAGAAAGTCTTCCTGGCCATACACATGGCTTTCAAAATTGACTCCATGGACTACCTAAAACTGGGAAGAAGGATTTTATGGTTCTGTGGGAAGCTTTAAATTCAATCAAGCAATTTCTGATGGACAGAATCCCAGATCTGAAATGCTAGAGTTACATAAAAGGTCATTGAGTAAATAGGCACTCGCTTCCAGGTAGATACATCTGATCTCCAGCTTCTGCCAGTTCAAAGCAACCTGCATTGGCTACATCAAATCTTTGTCATCAAAGATGACAGAATGTCTGGGATTTATCAGAAACTGTAAAGGCTTAAAAAAAGAATGAAATCATATCTTAGGGCAGTTTCCAAGATAGTAAATCATTTTTTGTGATACATCCAATGGATGGTGCTTTATGTTTGGTTTACTCATTTTGACTGTATGTTTGTATTTTAGGTAAAATATATTTCTCCTATCGTAGCTTCTAGAGTGTTATTTAGGAAATGTAAGAACAGCATAAGCCTTGCTTGTTACTATGCTATGGAACTCGCCACCACATAGATTTTTAATGAAATATAATTTGATTAAACTAATTGATTAAATTTAAATTCTGTGTCTATCGATTCTTCTGTTTGTCTTATTGTGCCTGATTATGTCTTCCAAGATAAGACCAAATTAATTGAGTACCATTTAGCAGAATCACACCTCCTTAAATTCGAGTTCTTCCTTGTCTTGTACTCTTGAGAATGTATTCAGAGCCATCTAAGCCACATCAAAAGACACATTTCTTTGTTTTCCTTTTGGTCCAGGGGCCCTGGGGCCTACTCTTATCAGATGAACATAACAGATATTAGGATAGCAAGACATTTAATAAAGCTGTAAAGAGATACATATGTTGAGCCTTCACACGTTTCTCTTTCCTTCTCTTTCCTTACGTAGAAAAGAAGGGATGGAGAGTTTTGAGTAAATGTCCAAGAAAAATGAAAGACTAGGAATTTCCATTTCTCTTTGTGGAGCTAATTCTATGAAAAAAAGCAGAGTTCTGGGCCCATAAGGTCTTTAGCAGAACCTGTGCTCTAAAAGGAGTTAGGGAAATGATCATTCTGGGTCATTGAACGTTCTTCTGTGATCCCTGTTTTACATGGACTTCAAGTAGAGTGGAAATCTACAGGTCTTGGGTGGTCACAAAAAAAGAAGCCAGGGCAAAAAGTCCATCCTCGCTTTCACTTCTTCCCTTCTTGTTCCCCATGTGATTCCTAAACTGAATCATCTTCTTGGTGATGAGGATAGATTTCAAATCAGGTTGTAGGAAGAGACCTTGAGGATCCCTGATTTAAACTTCCAAATCCCAATCCTGTAAAGGTAAAGATGTAGAGGAGAAGGGAAAAGAAAAGGGAGCTAACAATGAAGAAGATTGAAGAATGTTTTATATATGTGTAAATAGAGGCATACATACATGCATATTTACATACATCATACATACATACATATATAGCTATATACATACGTGCACACCGATATAGATGATGAAACCTGTCAAACATGTTTGAAGAAAAAGGAGAAGGAGGCATTAATGGAATGCAAGGGAAGGAGTGAGCTTGTTCAAAGTATTCTATGTCCATCTATGGAATCATCACAATGCAGCCTCCTTGTACTCTTCATGTGTCCTAAGTTAAAAAAAAAAAAGAGGAAAGAGTCACAAATGGGCCTTGAGAATTTCTGAAGCAGATGTTCTTTGCATCTAGATTTCTGGACATGATACAGTGAAGTGTTATTTGAGTCAATACCTTCCATAGGACTACATCTCCAAGGTTTCCTTAAATCTCTCCCTCCCACCTCCACCTCCAAACCCTGGTGTTTGAACTCAGCATCTGCACTTGCTTTGCAGACACTCTACGATTTGCACCACGTTTGAAAGCCATAGTCTAGACTGTCTGTGCTTATGCAGATACCAGTGTCCAGAGAGATGTGGGAGTGAGGGGAGGAGGGAAGAAGGAAAAAGTAAACAGCATCAACTTTTCAGGCTGCAAGACCCATGTAAACCATACAAAATCATACAGAATAGACTTCATGAAGCCTGGGCTTTGAATCGGGAAAAGAGTGAGTTGACTTAGCATCCATTTTCCATGGCAGAGGAGGCAATGACTGGCTGCATCTGGAAACATGGAGGCCCTGGAGGTAGGGTTTCATGTTTGTCAAGGTAGGGATTCAACTCTCAGTCAGTGTCACCAGACTAAAGAAATCTGTGTCCTATGAGATGATTGCTTTTAACAGACAGAATTTTCAAGTAGAGAATAATTGTGTCTCTATCCATTTCAGGATTGTATGTGAGTTTGCATGGGTATAGGTATGTCTGGTTTGTGTGTATATGAGACAAGGACGTCATTCTGAAGGGAAGAGGAGGTGGCTGGCACTTCTTAGAGCTGTGTGGTAGTCACAGACAGCATAGGAAGGTGGTATTGGATGAAGGGAATCTATGAATGGAGACCTTGGTGTTGCCTTGAATCTAAGGTCATTTTTGAGCTGAATCCTCCCCCTGGTGGCTCAGTAAATTACAGAATGTGCATTAACCTTGCTTTTCAGTTCTGCAGAATCCCCTGACTTGTCCAGCCTGGCTCAGTGGGCTAGATAGCAATTCTAGATGGAAGGTCCCCAAAATGCAATTTGTACTTGACCTCTGTAAATCAGAGTAGGTGATCTATCTGTCTATTAGTCTGTTTCTGTCTTTCTCACTCACACATACATACATACACACATTTGCATTCACATAGAGGCACATTTGAAAACATAAAATTGATCACAGGCACGGAAAACAACTAGTGTGTTCATAAAAACCACATGTTTACACTGAGACTGTCCATAGTGGATTCAGCTATTTTAGTAATGAAATCTAACACATTCAGACTGAAGACCCAAATGATTCATCTTAAATTACTAATATTGCATGACCTCAACCACCCACCACAATCACTCCATTTCATATCTGCTGGATTCCAGCATTACTCAAGGCAACAGAAATGGAACTAAGAACTATCGTTTTGTTGTCTCCATATTCTCTCTCTCTCTTTCTCTCTCTCTTACACACACACACACACAGACACACACACACACACACACACACACACACCCCAGTTTTTAGAAACCATCTCTTCTTTCCTAGTGTGGGCTACTCATGTTATTGTACACATTCTACTTAACAATCTATCTTCTTTACTAAATGTGAGCCTCAAAAGGGGCAAGATTGCTTTAGGCTTATCTGAAAACCTGCAAAGACCTGCCCAGCTTTTCACCTTCAAGAGAATCTGTGAAGGGAAACAGGTGGAGCAGTGAGCAGCTCCTGTCCACAGGGGGCTCCACCCTGGGGACTCTCTGTGCTCAAATTATCCCAACCAGAGCATTCTATTGACCATAGACTGGGGAATAAATTCTTCCTTTGCAGCAACTAGCCAGATTCCTATCCTTCATTCTAAAAAAATCCCTGCTTACAGTACAGACTTTTAAACTTCACTTCATGTTTTTAATATTAGCAGCTGCTGGTGAGTGCTCCCTGTTTTCTTGTAGGCCAGGCTCCAATGTGTACGAGTATGTGGTGTAGGGGGGAGGAAGAAGAGAGAAGAGGCGAAATATAACAGGGGAGGGAGATACGTGGGTACCTCAAAAGAACAGTGAGCCTGGAAGGAAGTGGTCTCTGTTCTAATTGTTTCCTGCCTACAGGTCTGAATAGCCTTATATGAATGTATCCTTCCTCCTCCCCCACCTCATGCTCTTTCTCTCCTAACCCTTAGGTGGTGTTTGTTACTTGTTTTTCTTGACAAAGTGCTCCTCTACACAACTAAAAAGAGGCTCCACTACCCATTGAGGGGCATGGAATTCTTCATGTCTGCAAGCTCAGCAATCATGTTTCTGCATAGATTTGCATATCTTCTTATACACAAGAAATAATGCCTCTACCAATAGTATATTTTTTTAAAAAATACCAAATTGAAGGGGAATATTTATAAGAAAAATGAAGTTAATTAATCATGGTATACTAAAATCCCTCTTTTCTTAAATCTGCTCCTTGGGTCTCCTCAGCAGCTTCTCTGCTGTGTGTTGTTAGTATAGTGTAATTAGAGATGACTAAGGGCCAATGACCAACGTCTCTGTTTCTTAATGGGATGGAATAGTGGTGCTCATCCCGTCGCCAGATGAAAGTCCTAATAACTTCCTTTTCAGTAGGAATAAACCTCCTCTTGTCATTGTCTCTGTAGAATTCTCACTTCCACCAGATCCAGCT